TCTAGATATTTGGAGAAACATTGTGAATATTTCAAGTGAAGATGAAAATAAAGAATTATATCTTCTATACTTTTCTATTCTATTTTGTACATGCTAATGATTAGATGAAAACAGCTCGCGACCATCGGTTTTCAATATTAAGTATCTATTATTTATATCTAGTCTAAGTATACGTATTACACTTACCAATTGTAGTACGAAAGCTATAACAATTTTCACATTGTTTTCAGTGGCGGCAAAATGTTGCTCGGAGTTTTACAAAAATACCAGTGTATGAACCATAGGCTGTTGTGATTATAAATTGAATTTGGAGACAGTTAAACTGTATGAAATCCGTCCATTTTATCACAAAAAAATAATTGTAGACATTCAATTTTTTTAAGTAAATAAGACCTCTTTATTTATCATTCGCTTACTTTATTGTATATATCGTCATGGTCAAATTTTGTATGGAAAAAGCTAGTTTACACTTGGTGTCAGTGGCGCTGTTTAGTTTTCATAGAAACATTGACGATGCGATACGTTAGCGTTACGAAGCTGTCAAAAATTCGTGTTTGGGCCTCAGGTATAGCTTATGGTGCGGGTAATAATAAAGGGAATTTAATAATTTGCTCAAGTGTGTGGTGATGTGAATATTTGTGCGCCATACGCCGGGGACACCAGTGACTTGAAAGAGTTATAAAGATACTAAATGTATAATAATTATAAATATTTATATATATCGAAAATCTCACACCTATTAGCCTAGCTCCAAAGGAAGACTGTGATTGTGATGCATATATAAGTACTAGCAGGTGCCCGCGACTTAGACTGCATGTAAAAATTGATTTCCCACTCAAACTTCCACCCTTCCCCCCTTCCCCCCTCCTAAAAGGATGATTTCTAAGATAAAAAGTATCCAAATAACAAATTTCATCTAAATAGGTATGGTTTAGGCGTGAACAGGTAACAGAAAGACGGACACATCTTTACATTTATAATGTTAGTATGGAAATTTATCTAGAAATACATATAAAATCCATGAATTAGGCACAAATGCTCGTTTTCGTTATACTCCATAAAGATTCGCACCCAGGACCTATGAATAGGCCGACACTAGCAAAACTGGCGTACATACCACTCAGGCCACGGAGGTACTTATAAGAAATAGGATTCGCGCCTCTGTGCATCACGTATATTTGCAAAAAAAATGATTGAGGGACATAGAATAAGTAAAAATACTAAAATGATATATTCATATACATATATGTATTATGTACGGATTTTGTAATTGGTATTGTTAGTGTGGATCGACAACAGCATAAAATATTTTCCCTATTACTGGGGTAATAGTTGTGCAGGTGGCTACACTTTTTTTTGACATACGACACCGTCCTTGCAAAGTGATATACACACACTACAATAATGAGTTGCCGCATAACCGGAGCTGTTGTTTTTGATAGCGCGGTATCTAGTGGAGTGTAGCGACACCAATCATTTATCTATGTCTATAGCCTATGTTCATCAGGAATAATGTAGCATTCTAAATGTGAAAGAATATTTCAAATCGGTCCAGTTGTGAGTAGAGCATATTTAATAAAAACAAACAATAAAATCTTTCCTCTTTATAATATTAGTATAGATTCTATGCGATCAGCTGTCATATAACTATGTACATTCACTTCTTTCTTTTTCGAAAAACCTTTAACTACTTTATTCATCTTTACTTGTTCCTATCCTTGTAGACCCTCCCACATTCACGTTCATCACCCTCTTTGTTACGGCCTTTTTCTCAACTCTTTTGTTAAGTACGCGTTTCAATTTTTATGTCACTGGTGCTACTTTTATAATGTACTCCATCCTCACTTTATCCATCTTCGTCACTCCACACATTAATGTCCAGTCGATTTTCATCCCTCCGTTTAACCGTTCTACACTGATCGTTAGAAGACGACAGGTCTTATTGTGGTGTTATAAATTGTCATTTCAGGTTTTCTATTGATGTCTGAGTTGACATAACAGGACCACGCGGGATCTGTCACATTATGTGGATGAGGCTAGAAGAGAACCGTGCGAATTAGCGCATAAGAAATGTATAGGCCTTTATAATGCCATGATGTGGGCTGCGGATAGCATTGACTTCAATTTTGTATCATAGTAGCGGCCCGTCCCGGCTTCACACGGCTGTATGAAATACTATGGAAACATACTGAATTTACAATAAAAATTTCTATTACATTAGTGAAAGATTTTTTTAAATGGGACAAGATGAGTCAATCAGTATATCCTTTTCTCTCTTTACATACTCGTAATAGTATAGAGTATGGATAGTATAGAATAGATGTAGATGTATAAATATAGAAGAAGACATAGATATAGATTCGGTAAACTAAAGACTGCTCCAACATTATGCCCAGTTGTCATTCACATGTCAAATTATGAAGTTTAAGCTTTAAGAGTTTTTAATTAATAACAAATCAGAGCAAACCTGCTGAAAAAGGGCGAATATCTGAAATCTACTTGATCAGGGCCACCCTGATTTTTCTGTGTAGCAAAGAGTTTCTTTTAGGTATATAGGTAAAATATCTTTTTATCCCGGAATTCCCAAGAGAACAGGAATTTCGCGGGTAAAACCGCAGGGCGCAGTTAGTAATAACATATTAGAGCAAATTTGCTGAATATACACACATCAAAAGTGTCTAGGGATCAAGCATTTTTATGCGGATTTCTTGAGATTGAGATGTGGCTTTGTAATAAATTTATGATTTTATAAATTTATATGGATCCTTTTTGGTGCATTTCATAATTTGAATCAGGAACTGTGAATCAAATTCGAGTAAAAGATGAAAATCAGCTGTCAATATTTTCCCTATAAAAACATACAACGCATTGAAGACATTATTAGTGCTACTGTTTCCCTACTACTGATTAAAACCAACGTTATTATGGAGCGGCGACGTCATTTAAGCAGGGAAGAAATGCTCAGAGCCGTGGGAATGATAGAAGCTGGTTCCCGGCAACGTACTGTGGCTTTAGCTCTGAATACAAGTCAGAGTGTTATCAGTCGACTTTGGACACGATACCGAAGCACTGGTACCGTGGCTGAGCGCCATGGAGGACGGTATCGCTGCACCACACGGAGACAAGACCGATACATTCAAATCTTAACTCGAAGAGCTCCAACAATAACCGCCATGATGTTAGCCGTGAGGCTTCATCACTCTTCAGGGAACTTAATTAGCGACCAAACAGTCAGAAACCGCTTGCATGAAGTGAACCTTCATTCCCGAAGACCGCTACGGGTACCACCTATAGCAATGCACAATCGTAGGATTCGATATCAATGGGCTCTTGAACACAGAAATTGGGCAGAAGAACAATGGCGTTTCGTGTGCTTTTCTGATGAGTCTCGTTTTGGTATGAGACCGGATACAAGACGTATACGACACTGGAGAACCCCTGGACGCCAACAGCGATTAAAATCCTGCCAGGAAGTCCATCCTTATAGTGGTGGAACCATCATGGTATGGGCGGGTATTTGGATCGGCGGAAGAACTGAGTTGATTTGGATCAGAGGCAACCTCAACGCTCAAATTTATGCTGAGACGATTGTATCAGACGTCATCGTTCCTCTACAAGTGCAAATCGGTCCCTTATTTCAGTTAATGCATGATAATGCACGACCGCACACCGCAAGAGTTGTAAGACAGACTCTCGCCGCAGCTAACATCAATGTCCTGCCCTGGCCTGCTCAGTCGCCAGACTTGAACCCGATTGAGCATGCATGGGATATGCTACAGAGAAGAGCTCTGCCGAATATGGAGGGTATCCAGTCGCAAGAAGAGCTTTTTTTGTTGTTGCAACGAACATGGGCGGCCATTCCACAGCGTGATTTGGATGAACTCATTTTGAGTATGCCAAACCGATGTTCTTGTGTTGTTAGTGTTCGCGGTAGAAATACGGATTATTAATTGTTTAAGTTACCCAATAAAATTTTAGAGAAAACTGTTATTTCAGTCTTTTTTTCGAACTTTTGTGTTAGTGGTTCAAATGTCAAAAATCCCTTTATTAGGAAAATGGCAAATTTCTTTATTAATGCAAAGGTGACTTGGTTTATCGTTACTGTGACAAACGAAAACATTTTATTTGATGAATCCTTAAAGAAAATTTTAATTAATATCAATCAGGAGAAAAGTTATTGCAAAAATATATGTTGATCCCTAGACACTTTTGATGTGTGTATTTTAAAGATAACTTGCTATCCTTATTTCTCGTTCGTAGAGATCGAATCCAAAAAATATGAAACACGTTTTTTTTTTGTTTCAGTCTAGTTTATCTAAGCCTAGTTTCAAAGCTGTCAAGCTAGCAAAACTCGTTTTCACATACAAACTTTGAACTCCTATATCACCCAATTCACGGTAGAATATTCAAAAATCCTTTCTCGCTTGATGCCTACATCATTTTAACAACAACAACTATTTAAACTTCAACATGCTATATTTTGTTTTATGAGGGTAGTTTTGAAAAATGAAAACACAGGGTGTGCAAAATTTTAATCAATCATATGCACTATTGGATTATCTCCCATCACTTTGACACGAAATTTTGTAATTTTTAGAGGGTAGTTTTAAAAAAAATATGTCGCAAGCTTAGTGTACATCTATTAAATAATGTTTATGCAAGATTTGCAGTCAATAGGTCCAAGGGATATGATTGACGATCAAACTTTTTGCAAATTTCACGCTTAAGAAGCTGAATTTCAAAGAATCCTATCTTATAACTTGTCTTGGCAATAATAGAAACCTACAGTCCAAATTTCATCATTCTAGGTCCAGCTGTTTCGGCTATGCGTTGATGAGTTAGTCAGTCAGTGTATACTTTTCTCTCTTTATATAATAGTATAGATTACTACCACTGTAACAAATTCTATAAGTTTGTGAAAATACTTATGATTATTCGAATTGACTTATTTAAAGCTCTTTTGAGTCGTCCATTTTTTTTCCTACCACCCATAAGGATATCTTTTAGCTGATAAGAAGAATGGGCGAACTCTATGAACTCAAATAACGTATGTACAAACTGCGTGGAGCGGAATAATAATTAGTGAACATAAAAAAAAACAAGTTATATTCTATAAGTCGAAATTGTTACTAAAATTAGAAAAAAAAAAAGATTTTCGGAAGAAAAGTTGACAACGTTCTATGTATAAATTTTATCTTGCAGCCTTGAGTACAAGCAAATGATTATGTTTGAGATTCTAGTTCTGGTGCATTCTGTGAGATCGTGTCTCAGTTTTGTGATTCAAATTATAAATATATTAAACAAAGTTTATTGTTTTGATATTTTGTGCGCACATCACGTACTAATCGCATTTGATGTTCATTGTAAGGAGTTGAAACGAAGATCGCGTCTTTGTGATTGATATAGGATGCATTGGATGTGTGACGTCAATCTACCATACGTACATGGCGGAACAGGTGACTACGCACGCATACTCAGTATGTGCTCTAGATATCGACAAGATGTCGATAATTTTATAGGGAAATATTTGATATTTGACAATCGGTAGATAAGGGCATTGACTTCCTAAAATTATTCATGTCTTTAATTCGTATATACATGTATAGAGAAAGTACTATTTATCACGTATTAATGGAAATAAATTGCATTTCTTTTAGTTCTGTAACCCGAAATATAAAATATATCTTATATTAAGAGTTCCAAATGGATCAAGAAATGGTCGTAATGATACAACGCGGGTATAGACTTTACGTGCAACGAATTTGCTAAATCTTGATTCAAATAAAACTAGATGTCAATTTGACATTATTGTTTGGGCTGAATCTCGTTTTAGTTAAATTGATAGCGAGATTGCTGCAAATGGACCTTTGTGTATGGTAGCTTTAGGGAAAACATTAGGCAGAGATTAAAAAAATTCGCTTTGCTGGAATCACGCAATTTTTGCGAATGTCGGGTCATCGTTTAACTTTATCAGACTTATTGAAATTATATGGTATAGCAAACCAGTGAACCAAATGTTCACCAAAACCTGATTTCTCGAAAACCGGAAGTGCTACGTTACTCAAATCCACAGCAGCACCACAGACGGACGGACTTGTCTAATAGATAAGAGATGATTATATGGAACATTTATTATTACGGTAATACGTAAATAAATCGTCAGTTAAAATTATGCATACCTGTACGTGGTAATACTATTACCACGCATACACATTATTTTTATTTGACGTGTTTTCCATGTATAGTGCATTTATTGAGAACGGCTAGTTGCTTTTTAGAATTATTATAACTTTGTGCATTATGCTATTTTAAATTATTTGATCAAATCAAAATCGACATCAAGAACTCCCGATGAAGGCTATGGAGAAATAGTGATAACGATTGTTTCCGGTTTTCGCCAATTTGTCATTGAATGCATTAAACACCGGAACGCCACGCACCTTACAGAATCATTTGTGTAGGTAGGTACAACTATTGTCACGTCCTACCAAGTTACCTTAGTGCGACACGTCCGTGTAAACGTGACCAATTCATATCGGTTTGACTTTGACCCTCGGCTTCCGAAGCCGAGAAGGGACGGAACAGACTTCTGATTATGTATCACAACTATGTTTATCTGCGGGCAGCTCTCTCTCCTATGGATTGATATCTTCATCGTTATCACAGTCCCAAGCACGATTTTTTTAAAAGCTCCGTAACGTATCGTAACTAACCAGCGCCCCTATCGGACGTAAGAACAAACTAGCTTTTTTCCATACAAAATTTGACGATGATAATACGTCACGGAGCTGTAAAAAATTCGTGATTGGGACTCTGATAATGATGAAGATATCAATCCATAGGAGACAGAGCTGCCCGCAGATAAACATAGTTGTGATACATAATTAGACGGAGGTTCTGTACAGAAGAGGCCCCTTTGTTCAGAACCTGCGTATTATTCGGAGCAATTATTTTTAATTAAGTAGTTAGAGGAGAACCCGCAGACCCTTGCGGCCTTGCTCATAGTAAAAAAATAAATTCTCATCATGTGCAGACTGTGAGCCATTCAGTCAGATTGTGGTGCAGTTTTTGCTGATTCCAAACATGCGGTTTAGCTAGGTATAGTATTTACCTTGGGTGGGGTCATAGCGACGCACGTGCTGTTGTTAAACATATATTTATTTAGTAGTACACATTAGCATAGTAATAAACTGAACCTTTATCTAATTTAAACGCTCCTAATTCTTTTTCTGTCCTTGGTGCTGTAATGTTTGAGCAACATTATATTGTGTTGTCGTTAACAACGGCCAAGCCTATTGTTGTATTATGACACTATAGAGTACCCAATTCTAAAAGTAAAATAACCATTAATATAGCTATAATTAAAGTATTCAAGGGCCGTAAAATAATACAACAACTAAATATATACAACATATACTCGTTTTTTTATATTTTATATTCTTTTAAATGAGTCCTGGTTTGCTCATTGTTAATTTTATCACCGTAAACAAAGTATCAATCGATAATCTGTGGTAACAGTGCTTCATATTGTTAAAAATAAAAGTCTAAAAAAAGCGGCCAAGTGCGAGTCGGACGCGCCCATGAAGAGTTCCGTAGCTGCAAGTAACATAATATAAAAGTTCTTGTAGTTCGTTGTAACTTTGATCGATGTTTTAATAATAGTGTTTTTTTTTTAGTTCAGTTATTGATTTATTATTAGAAAATAATGGTTCACGGTTTATGCATAAGGTTTATGTTTAATGTTTTTTTTTTATATTTGAGTTGATTGCATGAAAGGTAAAATGCGCTTTACGATTTATGACGTATTAAAAAAGAACTCAATTACTTATTAGATCTCGTTCAAACCAATTTTTAGTGGAAGTTTACATTTTTGGTTCTGTTTTTTTTTTGTACATCATATATTTTTTGGTTTTTATCATTCTCTTATTTTAGAATTCACAGGGGGAGACACTTTTACCACTTTGGAAGAGTCTCACACAAACTATTCAGTTTAGTAAAAAATGGTATTAGAAACCTCAATATCATTTTTCAGAAGACCTATCTATAGATACCCCATACGTATGGGTTTGATGAAAAAACATTTTTGAGTTCCAGTTATAGGTAACCCTCAAAATTTATTGTTTTTTTTTTTCTATTTTTGTGTAAAAATCTTAAAGCGTTTCACTGAATACATCTACTTACCAAGTTTCAACAGTATAGTTCTTATAGTTTCCGAAAAAAGTGGCTCTGACATACGGACGGACAGACAGACAGACATGAAGAATTCATAAGGGTTCCGTTTTTTGCCATTTGGTTACGGACCCTAAAAAGGTTTTTATTCAAAGAAATATAAGCAGTGACGATTTCACAATATTTACAAACACTTTAAAAACTTTACCTTGTAATTTTGGCAATGAACCGCGCAAGATACGCCAATTTAACGTTTACTCAGACTATTGTTCCTAGTAAAGCATGCATCCGAATATCATTAGCTAGTTGATAAAATTAAACTAGCTAGTTGAATTCACTTTTTGTCTGTATTGTTCTAGCCATAGAATACAGAAAGAGCTTAGAAGGGTGATCGTAAACCGTTTGTAAGGAACCGATGTCGCTGGCTCGTACCCACTACACTTCCACCTAATAGATAATAGCCAATCAAACGATGCGACATCAAACAATCGAACCAAGCAGCGCTTACAACTGAGAGCAACGACGCAATTGGAACCAAGTTTTGGTCAAGTTATGAGCATTTGCTCACACAACTGTGGCGGGCCTACCCCGCCTACAAGGCCCTTCTAACCTCTTTCTGAGTTCTGTGGTTCTGAAGATTTCGCTTATTGTAAGCGTCGAGTCTCAGTTCTGTCTCCTATCGTAATATTCCCACCGTCAAAGAAAAAATATCCGATTCTTGTTTTATGCGGGCGAACATGTAGGCAGGCAGAATAATACATCTATTGTGCATTTACTTATCATCCGTAAAAACCTGTCTTCTCACATGTTACGTACACCGTGACACCAGGGGGTCTACTCTAAGACAGTTTTAGATAGTTGAAGAACTACACTTGGAAACTTTCGCGTTGCATTATAGATAAAGGTAACACCGGTTGAAACGTCGGGATAAAGGAGGTACGAACACCTTTATTACAAGTGCGCGTTTTAACCCGTTTAATATTATATTTACTTGGAGAACTGTTGGTTGCAACGGCAGTATTTGATACTTCTGTTCGAAAGATCAGCATCTTGATAGGGGCATTTATTTTCGAGAGGATCACGAAGGTTTACCCCGTTAAGGATTTATCGGTTTTTATGTATAGTACCAGCTCTCCTTAGTTTGGTGCTAAATAATCGATTTGGTGTGAGTCGTCGAAATTTAATAAATAAAATTAGACAACATGCGAGTGATACTTCATACTAACGCAAGCGTAGATATGGTCATGATGGCCACTTACTATCAGTCGCGCTACAGCCAGTAGGCCACAGCCATGCCGCCATTTCCCTGTACAAATATAGTATATACTAACTTTCATATAATTTTGAAATTTGTTATCTATAACTTTTTTTTTTTCATTTATTGAGAATAGTTCACAACTTCACATTTACAATATGTTAAATAGTATTACTGTTAATTTTTATAATAAACATGCAGTCAAATACACTATCCACAGCTTACGCAATAATTGTTTACAATTTATAGTGAGATGCTAAGCAACAACAGATTAACTAGGCACCTGTAATAATCATTTAAATATAATCGGGTCCTATTCTATGGCGCTCAACTGTATAAGTAAATGGTAAATTATGGTGAGTACTTGAAATGGAAAGAAATTACATCAGGCTATAAGGACTTAACACAATCATTCTAAGCTTCAGGTACTTATGAATTAGGGTAGCCCCCCAGTTTCAAATAGATCGGTAGAGAACAGGTGAGCATAGGTGGGGTAGCAACAAAAAAAAAACTAGTTTTAAATACATAACACAAATAGTGACCAGATTTATTTTTTGCGCAAGTCTCATTCATGCGTCGATGACATCAAACATCGTGGACAGGTAGGTTTTTAAATGTAAGATGGGATGAAGGTTTGATAAACCTTAGGCAGGATAAATAGTTAAATTATACAGTATAACACGGGACTATATGCATAGAACTTGCATAGTAACAGTTATATAACTTGAAACAGAACCTCCAAATATGATTAAATCCAAACAATGCGGTCGATGTCTATCTGCCATAAGGACGGTGTAACCGATCAATGGAGTGGATAGAGTTAGTTAAACACAAGCCCCTATCTAAATATATTTAGGTTCATGTAAGTGTTCATCGCTAGCAATGAGGTCTACTAACCCATTGTAAAAAAATATAACATAACATCTCAGAAGTAACTCCTTAGCAGTGTTTCTATCGAGATGACAACAACGATTTTGGTGACGACTGTACTCAAGTATAATGTTCGGTGCGTCGCACGCGCAACCTCGAAAATATTTTTAGCTGCAGGAAGGTTCTCCGGTCATTTTCCTCGCGCACATTGCTTAAATAAAACATGATGCATCTATGTATATATTACATACATTATGTCTGCATTGAATATTCAATAAATACCAGATACTATTATCATGGGAAATGTTTGGCTGTACGCTTTGTTTTGGAGATAATGCTGAGTGATTAGGCGCTATCTTTACTCCTTATCTCAATAGGTCAATACTCTGAGATGTATAATGATATTGGTTTTGCACTGGTGAAGCATAAAATAATAACTAGGTGACGTAACATACAGTGTTTCAATTAGTGTTCTTTGTATTACACGTCAAAGCCACCGCCGCTAGCAAAAAAATCTATGTTGATCGTTCACAAAAGGTACTGTATTCGTGCTCATTACATAGAGGTATATAATATATAAAATTAATTGCAGGTAGCTAAGACCCATATTTAAAACTCAATACAATATAAAAAACCAAGTAAAAATACGCTTACATTATCATAACCTAACATCAATCGTCTATTTGCGATTCTCATCAGTGTGCATAGATAGCCAATATCTATAAATTAGATTGTTAAGATTCGTGTACAAACATTTTAGTATGAAGCTCATTCAAAATTATCTCCATTGCTTTTAATAACACTGAGGCCTCTTATCAATAAAAATACAAACTCTCTCCATGGTAAAATTCTTCATTGTCAGTCTTATGGGTTGTTTTAGGGACCCATAATTATCATGGCTAAAACTGTCCATAAGTCATATTCCAGCGAATTAAAATCGGAACAAGACGAAACGTTTGATTCCAACCACGCCGGGTAATAAAGCTCGATCGACCATCTTCTCAAGAATCGTATTTTGATACACTTTTGCCGATGTATCTACACCTTTTTCACAAAGGTATGCCGCAGTCACCCTTTGATAGTTAACTTAACCATTACTGAAGCCGAATCTCCAGTGTCCATGTTGTACTCTGCTGACTAATTGGGAAGCTTCTATAAAGCTACGAGCATAAATTCGATCATTCTGCCTGTTAAAACATAGCTTAATGGTAAAAAAAATCTTGTCAGTAAATATTTTTTTTCTATGATCTCCCTTTGCGTACGTACCGCTTAAGAAGTTGTTTTGATTTTACCACCCTATTCATTTTAATATTATCAGTTAAATATTGACAAGTACATCTCTATTAAAATACTTACGTGAATTGGTTCTAGGTGCTAAATTCATTTCCCGAGATAAAATCGTTTGCTTTTGACAGGATTTCTTCGAATTCTTTCCTTCACTGCTTTTATCGCCTTTTACGTACGAAAACTACGTGGATGACTAGATCATTTTCTGTTGCAAACAGAGAAGGTTTCATTGTACTATCAATAGCCCGATACACAAACATTGGACTAATACCAAGCGGATGGAGACTTTATAAAATCGCATTTGGTTCCATAGCTCCTTTTTTACACTATCACACACATTATTACATTGTATTATCACAGCAATTCGGTTCTCTTAATCACCCCACTCCATGTGAATATCACAAAAATATTAAGCATCGATTGGCGCAAAAATGAGAAAAAAGCTATGAATATTTATATAAGAATGACAGATTCCTAATTCAAAAGTATGTTGTTTTACTTGTAACAGTATTTATGGCCAGACTAAGTATATGCAGCACTTTTATAACTTTCTTACTTTTTTTATTCCTTTGAATGTCCTCCACATTCTCCTGTTGTAATAGATTTTATTTTTGCAGGTGCATACCGATGACGTTGTCGGTTTCGGCATATCGAGCAACGGCAAGTTCATGATGTCCTGCTCCTCGAAGACTGATATGGTTATATGGGACCTAAAGGGCCAGCAATTGGACAGGCTCGACACCTACTTGATGAGTACTCACTCCGCGAAGATTTCACCCTGCGGTCGCTTCGTAGTGGCGACTGGGTTCTCCCCTGACGTGAAGGTGATGGAGGTGGTTTTCACGAAGACCGGGGAGTTCAAACAAGTGTCGAAGGCGTACGAGCTGTCAGGACACACTTCGGGAATTTACGACGTGGCTTTCGATGTGGATACGTCGCACATAGCCACTATATCGAAGGACGGCACGTGGAAACTATACCACACAAAGAGTGAGTAAACTTGATTGACGCGCAGAACACGTTATCTTACTTCAGTTCTATGTACTCGTATATTTACGTAAAATATGTGAGCTGCGTACGCGCATGTTTGAGATTCTGTGTTGTTTGTGTTTGGGAGTGAGAACTTGCAAATTTTACTGCTTTTCAATGTATTTTTTGTCCTTTAAAAACAACTCAATAACAGTCTTGTGAACATCGAGAACAATTATACTACGCCTTTTTTTTTAATTATTGACATCAGAGACGATTTAATATTTTTTTTTTCCAACACACACCAATTAGCCTAGCCCCAAAGTAAGCACTATAAGGCTTGTGTTATGGGATACTAGGGTAACGGATAGAATACATATACTTTACATATATTAGTATATTTATATAGAAATACATATTAAACATCCATGACTAGAGTACAAATGCTCGTGTTCATCACACAAACATCTGCCCCCACCGGGATTCGAACCCGGGACCTCTCGAGTCGGCGACGCCATGAAACCTGGCGTACAAACCACTCGGCCACGGAGGTCGTCAGATTTACTAGGTGTTTACATGGTTATAGTAGTCGATGGTGGTTTTGATTTGAAATTGTGTTTGTATGTGTTACTCATCATTAAATTCGTATAAATACACCATTCAATCGGTGTATAATATTTTTCTACGTAAACAGATTAATGTGATTTAAGTCCTTATTTCACAGAACAGCCGTCGCAATACGATTGCCTGTCCGATGCGCATAATCTATGAATGATAATGAATTCGAGTTTATTAATAAAAGATGTGTGTTGGTATCTTTAAGTTATGCGAATATAAATAACGAAAGATCCCACTTTTGAGATGGACGTGTTGGGTTTGGGTTGGTCTTATCGAGCAAAATGAGCTTTTCATACGGTGTTCATTGCCCCCGCCCTGATAAATATGGAAATATTATACCGGCTGCACTCGTAAGAGATTACGATTAGCGTATTAGGCGGAGTTAAGTGATGTACTTACTGCTAGCAAATATTCAACATTCACACCACCCTAAGGTTTGCGTACTGTCTTCATAAAAGGCTCGAATATTAACAAAAGATAACAATAGAATAATACACACTTTGCTCCCACCCACTGTTATAACACTATTTAAGGAGAAGACAAATATACGAATTTCAAGATAATAATCACTATATCGTAATAGAAAATGTGGCTACGTCTACAAATGTTATAAACTTTATCGGGATTCGAACCCGGTGTTTTTCTAAACACAAACACTATGCCGTTATGCGAACGAGGTTGTATACGTATATTAACGCGCGCTGTTATCTGTTATTTCTTTATGTTTTACACACGTACTGTCATCTTTCAAACTAGAACAAAACGGTAAGGCAGATACTGGGAGATAGTTACAGAGCAATATGCGTAAGAGCAACGGTCACGCGATATAAGTATTGATATCATTGTTACCACGAATTACAACATCCAGGATTTACCCTGTTCGTTTATAAATTGGGATGATGTTTTTCTGCATTAGTCAGCTATGGTAAAATCAGCTTTTAACTACGTCATAACGTGGCTTTGTCTAAGCGGAAAGTACGGCGCGAGTGTAGACAGATGATGACGACACAGCCGGCCGGGTCGGTCCCGTAAGCCGTTTTATTTACCTCTTACGTGTTGTGTCGTGTTCTCGTTTTTGTTTTGCTAAACGTTGCTACATGTACCTACTTACGACTGTCTGTCGACGACGACAACGCAAGAGCAAAGTAAAAACTCGAAGTAGGTGGATAAGTAAAGGTAGTTAAAAGCGGATTCTGCGATTAGTTCCTTTTAGAATTAAAACTGTTAACGATGTTTCTTCCGTTTGATCTTGTTGATTAATATAACAATTCCTTTAAAACGGTTAAAATTATCTTTCCGTGCTATCTTAAATAATTAACTATTAATTCTTTCAGACTATTGTAACATATGATCTTAAAATATAGCAATGTAATTAACTTAAAATTACTTATAACGCTTAAGCAATAGTTTTGATGTATGTATTATTATATGGCTGATTGCGCAGGTACTCGCCCGAACTCTTTTTACAAGGGGGAACCCGTCTTTCTGACTATCTTTTCTTGTCATTATGGTGGGGAATCCCATCTGCCGAAATATTATTTTTGTTCATCCAATAGCCTAATAATATTTTTTGAAGTGAAAACTTCTTTAGCGGCAATGTACACTTTTTTGTCATGGCTAAAAACTGTTAACTCGCGTCATGAGACGTGGCTTGATCGCATCAGGACACCTGACAATCGAAAATTCGTAAGACGCAAACAATAAAATTGGAAAGGTTGTTGACTTTCAATATATTGGACGAATCATACTTATATTTTATTTTATCGTATAATAATAATAAGTCTGTATCTAGGACGTCCAGGTGGCAGATTTATTGCGAAGAAAATGCATTTTTTTTACAATAGATGTCGCTAGGTGCGCTTAAATGAGAAATTCTGAGAGATAAAACTTTTTAATGTAATATAAATTGTCATGTTTGTGTACGATAGCGCAATAAATAAATATTCTATTCTACCACATAAATGATAGTACTTTTAAATAAAATATAATAAAAATAGTATAATAAAATATATTTTATAATTAAAGAAATTCGTGCAAAATTATTCCATAACCATTCCAAAATATCAAAAATGCACAATGTGAATATTCAAGTTTTCACTTCTGTAGGCACTTCCGGGGTGCAACCCGTCGGTTTTTTTTATTTAATTACTCTGTAGTATTCATCTGTTTGCTATTCCTAGATACATATTATAATTTAGCTAAGTATATTTATGTAAATTTGAGCGTCATACCGTGGTCTCTTCCCGAAATAAATCTCTGGCCCTATTCAAAACTAAGTGACATTATAAAAAAAAACCCAAAATAAGTATCAAGCAACATGAAAATTATGTAGGCGTGTTTAGTAAGATACCTAATACACCTACATCATTCATTGGAAATAAAGTAGGCGCGCATCTAAACTGTAATGCTGGAAACTAGAAAGCAGAGGTCGTTTATATTTAAACAATTACAGATATATAATATCATGACAAAAAAAAAGATGACGACTTGATATTGATTTGAGTACGTTAGTACCTAATGTAATAGCTTTAAAAGCACAGATAATCTTTTTAATAAGCTTTTATTCATTGTGTAAAAAATGATGGCAACCAAACAAGTGTTCTAAGCATGTGGATATAACAGTACCTTGGAACGAAAGTGAGTGTGGGCGGGTGGTCGGGTGCCGGTATCGAGTTTAAGGGACGATTTACACTCTAATGAATAAACCTGCAGAATAAAGATAATATTCTAGATGAGAATATTAGATAAAGAGATTAATATGCTAATACAATTTTGAATTTTAAAGAAGGAAAATATATTTAAATTTGTAAATGTCAATCCAGGTTTAACCTTGCCAGCTAATTTCAAAAATGAGAGCTATTTATAAACTGTGAATAAATATATAATGATTGGTGTAGTAGTTTTGTGTACCCATATGTTTAAAAAAATAATATTAAAATAAAATGAATTAATAGGATAATGCCAAACAATTACTCAATAGCAGGTATGTGTATGTTCTTATAAACAAAGGCTCATCTTATTTTAATAACAATAACAATTTACACGATTTTTTCGAGTTTTTCATCAGATTTTTATTTATAAGATGGCCATATACATAATATGAGAGCATTACAGAACTTAAAGCGTTGGCGTCGCGTTGTATTGAATGTAAATATGTCCTTAGCCGTTAATTGGGTTGTTACTATTTAGAGACAGGCTGTGACCACGAGTGAGCAGAGGATGGGGTGGGCGGTCTTTGTGTTGTCTATGATAATAAAACACCATAACATCCTTTTCTATCCAATCAAATATCAGATTAACGGAGTGATATTAATAATAATTTATTTATTTGCACAAAGTAACTATATACATATTGTAGATAAAAATATGGAGCATCTATGCATTGGAAGAATGTATGACTGAACATAAAGAGGTTCCCAAACTAGGCTGAGCCTGTATCTTGGAGAACCAAAAACATTTAATTTCAAACTTTCTTGCGTTTTCTAAATTAACATTATTGAAACCTGCAAACGTATAAATAGGCTGACGCATGTTAGCAGGGGCATATTTTGAAATCTTTAGCCCCGGGCCATTTAAGATTAGATTTATATCAGTACTCGGTAAGGAATACCTACTTTTTTTACTTTTGCATCCCCTCGCGGAGTTCCAACCGCCCCGGGACAAGGCCCTATTGCCCCTAGGGTATTACGCCGCTGGATGTGTTTGCTAAAACCAAAATCTAATGAATTGTTTTTTGCGAGGTATACTGCTTTTAACAATATAAAAAATAAAGTCGGTCGGCCGGCCAAATCTTCTCAGTCGTTGTTTCAAATTTTGACCGAAGGTATTTTCAATGCTATAGTTATATAGTTACCATTATTGTCAATCCTTCTGTAATGCCAAAGACCGATGAGTAAGTGGACTGGTAGTAGACCTATCTTCTATAGCCAGTCTCCTTTTTAAGTAAGTTTAAATTAGTGAGTATGATCGTCGAAAATTATAAAAGACTTCGACTGCATGGAAAATTGGTTTCTCATACAAATTTCTACCTCCCTTTTCACCCTCTTAAAGGTTTTTATATCTAGGATAAAAACTACCCTATGTCATTTCCTGCGACTCAAACTATCTCTATATCAAAATTCATTTAAATCGGGTCAGCGGTTTAAGCTTGTAGAGGTCATAGACAGACAGACACGCTTTAGCATTTATAATATTAGTATGGATATTATGACGATCACCACTTTTGCGACGCAGTAAAAGCTGGATTTTAATATACTATTAATGGTAAACCGTAATATTTAATTAATGAAGATCGTTGTCATAATAGCATATACGTATAAAGTGATTAATACAACAAACCAGAATGTTTCACTGCAATTAACACTGGCCAACTGGTCGAAACTTTCAAGATCTTATATAATTTGGAACAAACACCAAACTGGAAATAACAGATTTTATTATGCGTCATTCTGTATCATAACGACTTAGGCCCGTATTATAGAATGACAACTAAGTGTTGATCTTTACTTGAGTACAGTTAGAAAGGGATGCCGCTATGTGCTATATTAAGCGACATCCCATTCTAACTATGCTCAAGACTAGATCAATCACTGAGAATCTGTCTGTAATACGGGACTAAGACTTCTTTTATATAAGTACTTACTCGTAAAAGTAACATTCAATTGAGAACAGTTAGTATAGAGTTAATATCATTAGGTAAGCTTTGAAAAAAATATTACTGCTAACCTAAATGTGAAAATGCGTACCTATAATATTTTTTTACACAATCACACAAAATTGTAATATAAAATTAGGTCTTCAGTTAAGTACCTAAAATGAAAAGTTTACAGAAAAATTACCAGGCTAGGCAAAATTCTTAATCGGTCTGTCAAAAAAGTCTCGAACTACACCTCTGACGATTTTAACTAAAGAGTTTCGTCATTTTATTGCACAACATTTGAATATTGGTAATTTTAACAGTTAACAAAACTGGAATATTTAATTTATGAGAATAACGCAGGTTTCGAATAAGGCTAGAAGAGTGCAAAACGAAGCTACGAATATGTTTTACTTATTTACAATACCTAGATTACGAGTTTGAATTTCAAGAGAATAGCAGAGTGAGATTTCTTGTTTGGATCGAACTGAAATGTTACTGTTTTACCCAAACTCCA